AGTATTTGGAAGAATTGAGATGAAAGGGAATGAGTATTTGGAAGAGTTGGGATGAAAGGGAATGAGTATTTGGAAGAATTGAGATGAAAGGGAATTAGTATTTGGAAGAATTGAGATGAAAGGGAATTAGTATTATTTAGATTGATCCATGATGATCCATGGGTTGTTTTTCTAAGGGAGCTTATGGGATAGGATGTGAACTGATGAGGAAGATGGAATGGGTGGTGAGAATCAGGAAGATGAGGAGATGAAGATATTGAATACTAGCAAAAAAAGAAAACAATAAATAATTACAAATACAAAGTATACTATAGTTTTTCTGGTGCAGCTGGGATTGATCAATAGGGGCCTCTGTGAGGAGTACTCCCTTGGTGAGCTTGAAAAAGTTAAGATGTTGATAGCGTTTTAATCACGAAAGGTAGCGGTTACGCTACCTGAGTTTTCCTTTTGCTTTAGCAACAATTTCTTATAACCAGACTGGACACCCATCTCACTGAGAAATCGCCTCCGACATTTACTTTTAAGGGCCGAGGGGGGGGCCCCCTGAAATGTAGAGGCCTACTTGTACAGGTTCCACTCCAGTGGCCTATCTAGTGTGTCCATGCTTGACTGCCACAAGGCTCAAGGGATATAGGATAAGACTCTGCGTGAGCAAAAGACACTAGCGGTCTGCACCTCTACCGTGTACGCCCTAGTCACTCTTTCAGTGGTAGCGGAGCAGTGATCCTGGAAGACCCAGGTGAGCTCCTTTCCTAGGCATAGAATTGCTTGTGGGCAAACGGCCATGGATTGGATTGACGACTGGGAAGAGCCTGATGCGGATGTGGCTTATGAGCCAGCAGCCTACGTGAATAGGCATGTGAGAAGAGAACCAGCAGCGATAGCTATGACAACACAGGTCACTACAAAGGTGCCCCCATCTTATGATGGAAAGACTTCATGGTTTTCCTATGAGGATGCCATAGACGATTGGTGTGATATCACCGAGCTGGAGGATGAGAAGAGAGGACCAGCATTGAGAAACCGACTAGAAGGAGAAGCAGCTGTATACAAGCGAGTTTTAGACAGAGATGCATTGAAGGCTAATGAGCCACCAGGAGCTGGAGTAGATTATTTCAAGAGAGTACTACGACCATATTTTGTGAAAGGATCAACCAATGTATTCCTATACAGGTTTATGCAATTCGTGCGATTCAATCGAGGATCAGCCGACATGATGAAGTGGATGACAAGATTTCAGATTTTACTCCAAAGGCTTATGAGCAGTTGGATGGACATGTTGGATCCAGTAACACAAGTACACCCACAGGTACAAGCTCAAATGCAAGCTGATGCAGCGGTGACTGGAGTAGCTCCAACAGCAGAGAGAATTCAGGAAATCATGCAGAATGTCAATGGCAATATGAGAATTCTTCATCAGAACGATTTTCCTTTAGGAGAAAATCTGATTGCCTTACTCATGCTGTCACTTGCAGATTTGTCTCAGGACCAGCGAAACACTTTGACTTCTTTGATGACTCATCGTGGCAGGGTCCTGCAGCAATACACCACAACTGAGCTGAGGACAGTTTTCATTGAGATGTTCTGCACGACAAAGACTTCAGTAGACAATCCTTTGATGCAGCCGACAGGTGCTGGAGGTAGAAGATCATTCCTCGTGATGGAAGAAGGAGAACTCGATGGTACATATGGCTATTGGGCCGAAGATGAAGAAGATGGAACAGAAGGATTCCTAGATGCCCTGGACGATGTCTTTTGGGTATATGATGAACAGAATTTCTCTTGGTTCCAGAGGAGATTCCAAGGAAGAAGAGCCAGAAAAGGCAAAGGAAAAGGAAGAAGAAAAGGAAAAGGAAGATCAGGCCGCAGATTTTTCAGACCTCGAGGAAAAGGAAAAGGAAAGAGACGAGGTAAAGGCCATTATGCTGATGAGCAATCGACAACTTATCCAGAAGAGTATTATGAAGAGAATCCTTATGAGGACACTTGGGAGTCAAATCAAGTAGCATATGATGCTATCATTGCCGAAGATATGAATGACTATCTTCAAGGAGAACATGAAGATGCCAATGACTTTTGGCAACAACTTGAAGAAGCATGGTTTTCCCACAAAGGAAAGGGAAAAGGCAAGAGAAAAGGCAAGAAAGGAAAAGGAAAAGATAAAGGAGATGGCAAACAAGATGCAAACTATGCAAATCAACAACAGCCACGTTCTTTACCTGCACCTTCAAGAACTTCACAAGCATCAGGAAGCAACCAAGGTTTCTTGGCGCATTGTGTGACAACGGTAGCTGAAGTCCATGACAGTGAGGTGAACTTGCTGTCAGGCATGATGACCTCATGTCAAGATGAAGCTGACTGTAATGTCAACAATGGTGAGACGATCTTCGATGGCATGAGTGCCCCTGTGAGGTACTCTTTGTCAGAGGAGATGCTCACAGATGCTCCTGATGGCTTTGCGCTTATGAGCGCTGAGGAAGAAGTGAAAGAGATGCAGGCTATTTCATTTTTGACTGAAAATCGCTTCCCGCCAACTATTGCAATCCTGGACATTGGATGCACTAGAGCTATGGGATCAAGGCGTGCAGTCGATTATTTTTGTAACTATGTCGACAATCATCCAGACTGTGGACTATGGTACTCTTTTGAGTCTACCAAGGGCAAGTTTTACTTTGCCAATTCTCAGAAGGCTTCTTG